GTCCAGGCGGGTCCTGAACATCTCCAGAGAAGGAGACTCCACAACCCCCCTGGGCAGCCTGTTCCAGCACTCCATCACCTCACCTAAATTAGTTCTTGTGCACATTTGTGCAGAACTTCCTATGCTGCAGTTTTCTGGTCGTCTCCCTTTGTCCTGTCTGCACACACTGCTGAAAACAGTCTGGCCTTGCCACTCTGACCCCCACACCTTAGATACTTATAGAACTGGATCAGGTCCCCTCTCAGCCTTCTTTTCTCAAGGCTGAACAGACCCAGTTCACTCAGCCTTTCTCCATAGCAGAGATGCTCCAGGCCCCTCACCATCTTTGTGGCCCTCTGCTGGACTCTTTCCAAGAGATCCCTGTCTTTTTTGTACTGGGGAGCCCAGAACTGGACGCAGTGCTCCAAATGAGGCCTCACCAGGTGTATGGGTATCAGTCATGGCCTGAACCTCTGATTAATCACCTGAGGTGAGCCATGAGTCAGCCAGAGGAGCACAGGTGAAGGCAATTCAGCTGTGCTGCTGGAAGGGGTGGAGCCAGGCTGCACCCCTCCTGGACCTATTTAAGAGCTGGCTACCAGAGGGGAAGGATCTCTTCTGGAGATCCCCTCTTTTGGTGTCTTCTGGTGAGCTCAACCTAAAGGTAAGCTCTTCCATTTATTCTCTTTTGTGATCCTTGTTTGCTTTGCCTTACTCTCTTGATTATATTGCGATTATAACATCTTGATATCTATTGATTATACACAATTATATTGTGATTATAACATCTTGGTTATACGCTTGGTGAGCCAGGCAGGCTGAATATACTGAAATTAACATCATGTCTTTCCTATGGAATTTCTATAAATGGGTCAAGGGGGAGAGCAATACTCCTCTAGAGAAAATGATTCCAGGGCAGATCCCAGGATTTGAGGGATCGCCCTATTATGAGTTAGCTGCCATCATTGAAAAATGGGGTCCCTTACGCGTTATGGGCAATCTCTCCCCGTATCGCATGGCGGACTATTTTCAAGGACTTGGCAAGGATGTCCTCACTACCAGAGAAAGACAATTGGCTGCCTCCATGGTGGCATGGCCATTATTGACTGCCTTAAATCATGCGGACTTAAGAAATAATACTTTAGAAACTGAAAATCAGCTTTTGAAAGACCGCATTGAAAAGCTGGAGCACGAACTTGGCGTTTTAACAGGGAAGAAGCCAATTCTACATCTTCCTGTAAGCCAAATTCGTAATATTTCAATAAATGATGACCAGGCTCCTGAATCAACAGACTTCGTTGATCAGGACAACAAGAAATCCAAATCAGATCTTGAATGTCCAGTTCTAACTGATCCACTGGAAGTCCGTCCTGTTGTAACCCAAAAAACAAAAAAAGTACAGGACAGACCGGCAGGGGTGCCGCCTGATCAATGGCCCCCTGCCCAGACTCATTTACATGTTACAGCTCGGCCATACACGGCAACAGAATTAATGGACTTAGTACAACGATTTCGGCAGAAGCCTAGAGAAAGTGTGCCGGCTTGGTTATTGAGATTGTGGGATTCTGGGGCAGAAAGTGTCTTGGTGAATGGCCCAGAAATAGCCAAGTTGGCCACCATGACCGTCCATCCTGCTCTCAGACAGAGGTTATACGTAGGTAATCAATATCGTGATGAAAACCATTCCATACTAGAATGGTTAATGGCGGCCTGCCGTATGGTATGGCCGAATAAATCAGACATACCGTTACATACAGGTATGTGGTCCTCCATGGAGGACCTTCAAAACTATATCCGTGAACTGGGTGTAAGGGAGGCCATTTATGAAGATACATTTGATGGCCCTGATATGGTTAAATTTTCAGCAGGGATGAGAGATTTAATTCTACAGCAAGCTCCCTCCCATCTGTACGGCACCCTAGTTTCGATATTAAATCCCCTTGTAGCATCAGAAGCCGTAGTCCAGCAGGCTGCCCAGTTAGTTGCCGACTTGGGAGAAACAGAACGCCTGCGGACTAGGCGCAATATTCGGTTTTTGGAGGAAGCAGAGGTCCTGCCAGTAAATAAAACCAAAATGCCGGCTACTCGAGCTCCTCCATCGGGACCCATAAGGGTATCCCGAAAACAAATGTTTAATGATTTAATTCGGGCTGGGGTCCAATTTGCTAAGATCGACCGCCAGCCCAACCACGTCCTTCTCCAGCTCTGGAGACAACTAAAGGACAATCAAAAATTCCAGAGCTACCCTAAGAAATCAAGGGTAAGAGCTATAGAGAGGTACACAGGACTGTACATGTCTACCATGTTTCTGGTCATCAGCCCCTACAGTCACCGGGAAACGATGAAGCCGACACACTGGCCCGAGTTCGATGGATTGGGAATTCACCATCTGAGAACATCGCCCGCTGGTTACATCAGAAGCTACGGCATGCTGGACAAAAGACAATGTGGGCAGCTGCTAAAGCATGGGGACTGCCCATACAACTATCTGATATCGTCCAGGCATGCCAGGATTGCGACGCTTGCTCCAAGATAAGACTGAGATCGTTGCCCAAAACAACAGCCCATCTTGCTAGGGGACACAATCCTCTCCAGCGATGGCAGGTCGATTACATCGGGCCCCTTCCTCGTTCCAAAGGGGCAAGAAACGCCCTGACCTGTGTCGACACTGCAAGTGGGCTGCTGCAGGCCTATCCAGTACCGAAAGCAAACCAGGCATATACCATCAAGGCACTCACTAAACTGATGTCTGCCTATGGGACACCTCAAGTCATCGAGAGCGACCAAGGGAGTCATTTTACTGGTGCAACGATACAGCGCTGGGCAGAAGAAAATAACATCAAATGGCGATTCCACCTGCCATATAATCCAACGGGGGCAGGCCTCATCGAACGTTATAATGGTATTCTTAAGGCTGCCCTGAAGACAGACTCCCAGTCCCTGCACAGGTGGACAAAAAGACTGTATGAAACCCTGCGGGACCTGAATGAAAGACCTCGAGACGGCAGCCCAGTGCCCTGAGAATGTTGCAGACAACATGGGCCACCCCGCTTAGGATCCAAATTATGGGCACTCATCCACTGATCATCACTCGTCTTGAATTGTACGAACACACATCACAATAAAATTGTGTAAGCGTCGCGATATATAGCGGATCTCTGTATTAGGGAAAGCTTACCCTTTAGTTAACCTGATCATTGGTTCACGACGTGAAGGGGTGGAGTGTATGGGAACTGCTGAGTCACGGCCTGAACCTCTGATTCACCTGAGGCGAGCCATGAGTCAGCCAGAGGAGCACAGGTGAAGGCAATTCAGCTGTGCTGCTGGAAGGGGTGGAGCCAGGCTGCACCCCTCCTAGACCTATTGAAGAGCTGGCTACCAGTGGGGAAGGATCTCTTCTGGAGATCCCTCCTTCTGGTGTTTTGTGGGTGAGCCCAGCATAAGGGTAAGCCTTCCATTTATTCTCTTTTGCTATCATAATCTACTTTGCCTAACTCTCTTGTTTATTTTGTGATTGTAACATCTTAATATCCATTGATTATACACCAGGGCAGAGCAGAGGGGGAGGATCACCTCCCTCGACCTGCTGGCCACGCTCTTTTTAATGCACCCCAGGATGCCCTTGGCCCTTTTTGGCCACAAGGGCACACTGCTGGCTCATGGCCAACCTGTCATCCACCAGGACACCCAGGTCCCTCTCTACAGCAGCTCCTCTCCAGCAGCTCATCCCCCAACCTGTACTGGTGCATGCAATTATTCCTTCCCAGATGCAAGACTCTACACTTGCTTCTGTTAAACCTCATCCGGTTTCTTACTGCCCAGCTCTCAGCCTGTCCAGGTCTCGCTGAATGGCAGCACGGCCTTCAGGCGTGTCAGCCAATCCTCCCAACTTTGTATCATCAGCAAACTTGCTGAGGGTGGCCACTATCCCCTCATCAAGGTCATTCATAAAGATGTTGAACAAGACCGGACCCAGCACAGACCCCTGAGGAACCCCGCTGGTTACAGGCCTCCAACCAGACTCTGCACTGCCAACGATGACCCTCTGTGCTCTGCCACTCAGCCAGTTCTCAACCCACCTCACTGTCCACTCATCTATCCCACACTTCCTCAGCTTTGTTATAAGGATGTCGTGGGGGACAGTATCAAATGCCTTGCTGAAATCAAGGTAGACTACATTCACTGCTCTCCCCCCATCCACCCAGCCAGTGACAACATCATAGAAGGCCACCAGGTTGGTCAAGCACGACCTCCCCCTTGTGAACCCGTGCTGACTACTCCTGATAACCTCCTTTTCTTCCAGTTTCTTCCACAAGCTGTTCCATCACCTTTCCAGGGACAGATGTGAGGCTGACTGGCCTGTAATCACCTGGATCTTCCTTCTTGCCCTTTTTGGAGACCGGAGTGACATTGGCTATCCTCCAGTCTTCAGGCACCTCCCCCGTCCTCCAAGACCTCTCAAAGATGACCGAAAGCGGTTCAGCAATCACCTCCACCAGCTCCCTCAGCACCCGTGGATGCATCCCATCGGGTCCCATGGACTTATGAACACTGGTGTTGCCTAGGCGCTCTTGGACTGACTCTTCCCTGACTAAAGGGAGGTCTTCCATTCCCCAGACCCTCTCACTAACATCCAGGGTCTGGGATTCCCAAAGGAGAGCTTTATCACTGAAGACAGAAGCAAAGAAGACACTCAGTAGCTCTGCCATCCCAGCATCCCCCCTTACCAGCACACCCCCCTCACTTAGTAGGGGAGCCACATTCTCCCCAGTCTTCCTTTTACTGTTAACATACTTAACAAAGCCTTTTTTATTATCCTTTATCACCTCTGCCTGATTGAATTCCAGGAGGGCTTTAGCCTTCCTCATCGCATCCCTGCAGGCCCTGGACAACATTTCTATATTCCTCCCATGTGGTCAGACCTTTTTCCCACATTTCATAGGCCTTCTTCTTTCCTTTGAGTTTGCACAATAGCTCCTTGCTCATCCACACAGCTCTCCTGCCACTCTTTCCCAATTTCTTCCTCACAGGGACGCACCGATCCTGAGCTTGGAAGAAGAGCTGTTTAAATGCTGACCAGCTCTCACAGGCCCCCTTACCTTCCAACACCCTCGCCCACGGGATATCTCCAAGTAGGTCCCAGAAGAGATCAAAGTTGGCTCTCCTGAAGTCCAGTGTAGCAATCCTACTTTTTGCTTTACTTCTTCCACTCAATATCTCAAACTCCACCACCTTCTGGTCATTACAACCCAAGCTGCCCCAAACCTTTACTTCCTTGACAAGGCCTTCCTTATTAGTGAGAATAACGTCCAGCAACAGCCCTCCCCTTGTCAGTTCCTCCACCACCTGCATCAGAAAGTTGTCTTCAACACATTGCAGGAACTGTCTGGACCGCGCGTGCCTGGCCACGTTGTTATCTAGCAAATATCTGGATAACTGAAGTCTTCCCCCATAAGCACCAGCACCTGGGATCGTGACACTGCTTACAGTTCCTTACAAAAGGCCTCATCAATCTCCTCCTCCTGATCAGGAGGCCTGTAGTACACATCCATAGCAGTGTCAGCCATACCAGCCCGCCCCTTGATTCTCACCCACAAGCTCTCCACTGCTACACTGCTTTCCCCCAGCTGGAGTTCAGTACATTCTAGCTGCTCTCTCACATAAAGAGCAACTCCACCACCCCACCTCACCAACCGATCTTTCCTAAAAAGCACACAGCCCTCCATGACAACATTCCAGCCATGCGAGCTGTCCCACCACATCTCCGTGATGGCAATGAGATTGTGGCCATGCGACCACACGCAGAACTCCAGCTCTTCCTGTTTATTCCCATACTGCACACATTGTGTGCATACACTCTAGGGAAGCAGCATCCCCCTGCTGCTCTCCATCCCTTCGAACTCCACCCTCATCACCCATCAAGCTCTGTTTTGAGCCTCGAACTACCCGCTCAACCCCAGCGGCCCTCATTTTGTTCCATTCCCCCTTGTTACCTAGTTCAAACACCTTTCAGTGAGGCCCACCAGTTCCTGGGCCAGGATACTTTCACCCCATGCAGACAGGTGAGTTCCATCTGCAGCCGTCATGGCAGGAGCCAAGTAAATTGCCCCATGGTCAAAAAAAACCCCAAAATCTTGTGCCTGCACCAACCTCTAAGCCATTTATTTATGAGGAGGGTTTTTTTGATCCTCTCAGTGTCCTTCCCCACCACTGCAGGGATAGAAGAGAAAACCATCTGCACACCCACTCCATCAAGTATCCTCCCCAGTCCCGTGAGAGCCCTCAGGCTTCTCTCAGCAGCATCATCACTGCCAACCTGAACTACCAATAAGGCATAGTAACCAGATGGGCGAATAAGCCCAGGAAGCTTTCTAGAGATATCCCTGACCCATGCCCTAGGGAGGAGGCAGTACACTTCCCTATAGGTGAGGTCAAGCAGACATACTGGGTCCTCAGTTCCTTATAGAAGGGAGTTACTTATGGTATCACCCTCCTTTCTTTACTGGAGGAGGCAGTCTTCAAGCATGGAGCTGACTGCCTCTCCTTAGAAAAGCTTGGAGCCTGTCTCTCCACCTCATTCTCAGCCACCTCACCCTTCAGTTTCAGGGCTTCAAACCTATTAGAGGCACCTGAGGAACTGAGGCAGGTTGGGATGAGTGCTGCCTGACTCGCTGAGGTGGGACCTGCTGCCATTCCTCCTCCCTTCTCAAGTTTGCTCTCTCGGTTTGACCATGGCAAGGGAGAGGGTCCACTATAGTTTGGGGGTTGCAATCTCTGCTCCTTTCTCACAGAGAGTCACACCACCCGTCTATCTCCCTCTCACACTCTCTAATGGTTCTTAACCTCTCCACCTCCTCCCTAAGCTCCACCACCAGGCAGAGCAGCTCCTCCACCTGCTCACACCTCACACATGTGGCATCCTTCCCATCCTGCCCCGGGAGCAGCATGCTCAGGCAAACACAGGCAGCACTGAATGTGGATATATAAATAGGGGATGTGTTCCAAACTGGTATCCACTGGTGTTTGATGAGCCCCCAGCTCTGGATGTACTTCTTCCAGCAGTCAAGGTGCTCACAGGGGCTCTCTCCTGTGTTGGTTTACTGGGGTCTACTAAAAGTTAAGCTCCAGCTGAAGCTCTTCCTGCGTTCCCTGCAGAGTGAATTCTTGGTCCAGCTGAGGTTTAATCTGGATCCTCATCTGTTGACCCACAGCAGATGAGTTTCTCTGGGGTGAGAAGAAATGACTTCTTCAGACAATTCCCTGCACACAGACCTGGCAGAAATGTGCTTCTGATCCACCTGCCGTAATCGCTGGATTCTCCTTTGCATGTCCACTTGCCCATATTGCTCTCTTTCTGCTGGAGACAGGGCAATTCCCCCGGAAGGAATGAGGAACATGATTGGCTTTGGCTCCAGAGCTCTTCCTCTGCTCAAGCGATTTGTGAAGGTTTCATCATCATGCAAATCCACAAGCAAGGAACCAGGTTGGGGTTCCAGCTGAAGACCTTCTCACATTCGTGGCACTAGCAGGCTCTATCTCTTGTGTGGACATGCTTGTAGGTAAGGAGGCTGGAACTGCTTCTGAAGCTTGTCACAAACTCAGGGCACTTCTGTCATCTGTCTCCTCTGTGGATGCGCCTGTGGGAGTTGAGTTTACGACTGCTTCTAAAGCCTTCCCCACACTCAGAGTACTTGCAAGGTCTCTCTCCTGTGTGGATGTGCAGCTGACCTCTGAGGTTGGAACTGCTTTTGAAGTTCTTCCCACACTCAGGGCACTTGTAGGGTCTTTCTCCCCTGTGTGGATGCGCTGGTGGCGGATGAGGTGGGAACTGCTTTTGAAGTTCTTTGAGCAGTCAGGACACTTAAAGGCTCTCTCTCCTGTGTGGATGAGCTGGTGGTAGATAAGGTGGGAACTGCTTTTAAAGCTCTTTGGACACTGTGGACACTTAAAAGGTCTCTCTCCTGTGTGGATGCGATGATGGATTGTCAGGTTGGAACTCCTTCTGAAGCTCTTCCCACACTCGGGGCACTTATAGGGTCTCTCTCCTGTGTGGATGCTCTGGTGGTAGATGAGGTCAGAACTGCTTTTGAAGCTCTCCTCACACTCTGGGCATTTAAAGGGTCTCTCTCCTGTGTGGATGTGCTGGTGGCGGATGAGGTTGGAACTGCTTTTGAAGCTCTTTCCACACACGGAGCACTTGAACGGTCTTTCTCCTGTGTGGATGCGCTGGTGGCTCTTCAAATGAGAACTGCTTTTGTAGCCTTTCCCACAGCTGAGGCACTTGTAGGGTCTGTCTCCTGTGTGGATGCGCTGGTGGATCATGAGGTGGGAGCACTGCCGGAAGCTCTTCTCACACACAGGGCACTTGTAAGGTTTGTCACCTGTGTGGATGCGCTGGTGGATTGCAAGGTCAGAACTGCTTCTGAAGATCTTTGGACACTCAGGACACTTAAAAGCTCTCTCCCCTGTGTGGATGCGCTGGTGGTAGATGAGGTCAGAACGGCTTTTGAAGCTCTTGCCACACTCGGGACACTTAAAGGGTCTCTCTCCTGTGTGGATGTGTTGGTGGGAAAGGAGTTTAGAACTGCTTTTGAAGCTCTTCCCACACTGTTGACACTTGTAGGGTCTGTCTTCCGAGTGCATGCGCTGGTGGGAATGAAGATCTGAACTGAAGTTCTTCTCACCCTTGGGGCAATTATCAAGTTTCTCTGATGTGTGGACGCACTGGTGGATATGCAAGTTGCAACTTTTTATGTAGCTCCTGTCACATTCATGGCATTTAAAGTGTCTGCCTCCTGCATGGATGTGCTGCTGGTTAACACAGTCAGAATAAGTCTGAAAGCTTTTCTCACTCCCATCACATGGATTTTGACTTTTCTTATGGCACACTTCCTTGCTCACTGAGTCTTTACATTGCTTCTGACCTGTGCTGCAGTCTAGGTGTTTCCTTGCTCTCTTTCCTGGACAGTTTCCCAGTGGCTTCTTGATGTGCTCTCCTTGCTCCAAACCCCCTTGGACATCCTTCCTGGCTTTTCCAACAGGGACGCTAGCACACTGCCTCTGGGCCATGCCACTGTTCTGCAGATCTTCCTTCATAGTTGTGATACCATCACCTGCTGGATGACAGAGGAAATTCAGAAATACCACATGGTGCCAAAATATTTCCCAGTCAGAGATGGCTTTTGCCAGCCCCAGCCTCCTCCTTCCAACCCCCCTCACCTGCGCTGAGCTCTCCTGCCATGTCCTTCAAGGTGTGCGCATCTGGGATCCAGGGTTCATCCCTTCCTTCCAGCAGGGGGATCTCCACAGGCTTGGGAACTGGAAGTGACACTTAAATGACAGAAACATGGCAGATGAGAGAACGTTCATGACTCTGGCAGAGCTGCTCATCCAACAATGTTATTATATGTCCCTCTCAACTCTGAAACCACAATCTGGGCCTGAATGACACCTAGTCAACACATACAGGCTTCCTTTGGAGCCCAGCATGCCTTTCACGTCTCTGAAAATTATGCAGGGACATTTTCATTAAAATTCCCTTTAGGATATTCTGTTTATTTTTTTTCCAAAATGCTCAATGCCCAAGGGTTCAAAAAGGTTTATGGAAATTGACACTGAAAGGCACAAAATGCTACAAACAGTAACCTGGGAGCTGTCTGGTTGCTGGAGTTGGTGGCAACACGCAATCACAGAATCATAGAATTGCTCAGGTTGGAAAAGACCTCAAAGATCAAGTCCAACCATAACCTAACCATACCACTGAAACTCTAACAAACCTCTGCTAAATCATGTCCCTGAGCACCACGTCCAGATGGTCTGTAAACACATCCAGGGATGGTGACTCAACCACCTCCCTGGGCAGCCCATTCCAGTGCTTAAAAACCCTTTCTGTAAAGAAGTTTTTCCTGATATCTGACCTAAACTTGCCCTGGCGCAACTTAAAGCCATTTCCTCCCATCCTGTCACCAGTAAGAAGAGATGAGCCCTGCTCTGCTGCAATGACCTTTCAGATATTGAAAGAGAGCAGTAAGGTCTCCCCTCAGCCTCCTTTTCCCCTGACTAAACATCCCCAGTTCCTTCAGCCTCTCCTCATAGGCCATATTCTCCAAGCCCTTCACAGCCTTGTTGCCCTTCTTTGGACCTCCTCCAGCACCTCCATGTCCTTTCTGTACTAAGGTGCCCAAAACTGAACGCAGCACTCAAGGTGAGGCCTCACCAGTCCTGAGTACAGGACAGGATCACTTCCCTGGCCCTGCTCACCACACCATTCCTGATACAAGCCAGGATGCCATTGGCCTTCTTGACCACCTAGGCACACTGCTGGCTCATATTCAGCCCACTGTCCATCAGCACACCAAGGTCCCTTTCCATCAGGCAGCTTTTCAGCCACTCCTCCCCAAGCCCGTAGGGTTACCTGGGCTTGTTGTGACCAAAATGCAGGACCTGACACTTGGCCCTGTTGAAACTCATGCAGTTTACCCTGGCCCATTGATTAGGGTCTATCCAGGTCCCTCTGTAATGCCTTTCTCCCTCAGGCAGATCAACAACCCCTCCCAACCTGATGTCATCTGCAAACTTACTGAGGATGCACTCAATCTACTCATCAAGATCGTTAATAAAGATGTTAAATAGAAGCAACCCCAGTACCGAGCCCTGGAGGACACTGCTCATGACAGGTTGCCAACTGGATTTAACTCCACTGACCACAAGTCTTTGGGCCTGGCCACCCAGCCAGCATTTCACCCAGCAGAGCATACGCCCATCAAACCATGGGCAGCCAGCTTCTCCACGAGGATGTTGTGGGGGACAGCGTCAAAGGCTTTACTGAAGTCCAGGTAGACCACATTGACAGCCTTACTTTCATCCAATCAATACAGCAAAACAAAGGGCTGTTTGCAGGGAGCCAATCACCCCCGCCTGGCTCAGGCCTGTTTGCCAGCAGTGACTCGACCTCAGGAAAATTTGTTGATTCAGAACCTCGGTGAGTGGCAAAGAGTTTTCTCTAGCCTTTGTGAGCCTTGCTAGGAGTGTATCTTAGAGTGATTGTGCACACAGGATCCCTTAGATACAAACCATTGACCTACTCTGGGACTAGGAGTGGATCCAGCCTCACTGCAGCTCCTTACCCCCATGGTTCAAGGAGTTTACTACGGTACCTGTGTGTTCAACACTAACCACTACACCACAAAAAAGTGTGCCCAGCCATCTCCAATCTTGTTAAGTCACCGTTAAATCACTATAGCATATCTATATTATATGAACACGTAGATCCCCATTTCACCCTTAAGAGTATATAGTGTAGTTCTATCCATCCCTGATAAACTGGATATCCGCAAAGAAATCTTCCAAAGTGGAGTAATGAAGCATGGGGAAACCATTACTTTTACCCATTCCCAAAGTCCTGACGTATTATCAGCCTCCAGGCACTATCTTTAGTCTAACTGTAGCATTCCAGAAATGAGAAATCAGTGATGGAAATCCCACTAGGGCTTGGGAAGCTCAGCATGCAATTCAGGCAGCAAAGACTTAAGATTACTAATGTAAAAGAAACAAAGTATTGTGGCCCAAATTGCCAAAGCAAATTTCTGGCACCTGGATGAGAAATTCATGCCACCCACTTTCTCCACAATTATAAATACTCATGAGAAATATTTGGGGTTTTGATATTTTAAACACATGACCTGGTGCCAGCTTCAAACACTGATGCCAAAAAGGCAGTATACTTTGCACAGCCTCTGCCCTCCTTGAATCAAAAACTACTGCAGCACTCCAGTACCACATTTCTGCCGTGGCATGGGGTGGAACTGCTGAAGGTACAGCAGATCTGGAAAGAAAAACTTTCTGTCACCTGTAACTTTTTATGCCATACACACCAAGCACCGTAATCAAAGGAACTTCTACCAAACTGGTGGGGCAAGCAGCAGCAGCCACTTAATATCCAGCTCAGCTACGTTTAAAGAAACTGTACAGTGACATATGTATGGGGAAAGGGACTGTTATCTTCAGCCCGAGCAGTGAAGCGAGTTGACACAATATATAAAGGACAGCCTGTGCCAACAGCGTCTTTTAATTTACTGGAAGCAGGACTAAAGAGGACTGCCCTCCCAGAATCCACTGCAGAAAATCCGCTAGGAAATGGTATGCTCACCCAACAGGACGTGCAGGAAAGGATGTTGATAATGGCAGAGCAATCTGAATGCACCCCCTTCCGCCCCTCCTCACACTCAGGCACACGGAGTACAACAACAACAACAACAACAACAACATGGTCTTTTGGGTTTCACCCACTGAAAAGAGAGAATGACAGTACAGTTGAACCAGCCTGTGATGATCAAATCACCATCTACTGAGGCTGTGCTTATGATTTTAACTACACCTTGCAGCCTACTTATTGATCCATAGTGGTGCTAAGCATAAAAATGATGGTATAATGGATTTATCTTCTTTTTAACGGGTGCCACCTGAGAAGCAGGAGAAGGGTGACCTGATTTGCAAATCCCCTTGATTAGAGTTAGGTGAATCGACACTCTTACTCCAAACACAATCATCAAATTTAATGAGATTCTCTGTACAACAATAATCTTAGAAGTATCGTCAGTCTTACAATTATGTTTATCTAAACTGTGCAGCTAAAGTATGCAACTTTATAGGAAATCCAAATAAAGACTGTGATACTTAACTTTACAAGGGAAAAATAAAGATAAAGAGAGAGGGGGACACGATAGGACAAAGACAAAATAAAAAAAGCATTGTGGGAATACAAGAAAAACTGAACAGAGCAGCAGCTGTGGAGCAAGATAAGCAGCATGAGAACCAAAGACACCTCTAGCAAAAGAATGTCTCACGGCTCTGACTGGAGAAGTGCCTGCATGAACGGTTGAAGAGTGTTTTGCAGAATGTTCTGCTGACATGTATAAATACAATAGTGCTTAAGAATAAAGCAGACTAGCAGCTTTTAACCACACTGGTGTGCTGCTGTGTCTCCAGCACGTCCTGAGAGTCCAGAGAGTTCCCCCCAGAGCACCTGTCTGGGTGCCAGTGTTGGTGCAGCCAACCGGGCTGTAAGAGAACTTGACCAGAAGCTACAAATGGAAGCCTCAAAGTCCATCCCCTAGTTTCTCTCACACATCTTTTTATGCCTGCTAGATTTACAAAGTCTGCAGTCAACAACTCTCCTTGAACAGGGGAGTTTTGGCCAGAGCAAGGCTGTACTATGCACAGTGAGCTCCCTTCTCCTTGGTCTACCACACACGGAATAACCTGTTCTGAATCCCCTACCAAAGTGATTCTACACTCTTTCACAGCCTCTAAATTACCCAAAAAGGGTGATGGTCATAATCCAGTTAAAAAAAGATTTGCTTGCCCATCCCAAGGATCAGGGCTTGCCAAATGCTCCAAAAGGAGGGATTTCCAGGTAGAGATCCCTCCCTTGTGGCTGCTAGCCCCTCAGTGTGGTGAACTGCTTCCTCCTGTGCTCCCAGAGCTGGCTGTGTTCCTTCCCAGGTGCTCAGTCGCTGCTTCAGGCCAACACAGAAAAGAGGTGCAGGGTAACACACAAGAGGAAGACAGCAAATAGCTGAGAGGAAGATTTGAGGGTTGCTCTCTTTTTATTTTTCTAGTTCTGAATAGTTTTAGAGACACTGAAGAGAGTAGGCCTGGTGGATGGGAATGAAGAAATTGTACTTCTCCAGAGCACAGAAATCAGAGAGATGATAATAATAAGAGAGAAGAGAGTGAGAGACAGAGGAACAAGGAGAGGAAGACAGAAGATGGATAGTATCCACTCTTGGATCCAGCACTGGAATTTTCAGTCTTGGTCCACTGATGGAGGGTTGTGTATACTTCTATTATGATTGAATAAATTGTGGATAACACTTTTTCCTCCATTTAATTCTATTCCACAGCTCAGCTTCCATCTAGTACCTACGAACTCTCTGTCCTGCTCCAAATCCAAACCAACTTTTAAAATTGACTGTATCCTGGTACAAAGAGGGGTTGAATGAAATGTACCAACTGCAAATGGCATTGACTTTGATTATCAATATAGGAGGACTGAAAGTAGGAAAGGGCTGACCCTTCAAATGGAAATGGGCAGTTAACCATTCCTGTAGGTAAACTCTTATCAGTAGAATCAGAGGCAATGCGATCCTACATTTCTTACCCACAAAACAAATGTATATACAGAGAAGGCATGCTAGCCCTGTGAGTGAACTACTCAGCACTCATCTCTATGAGGACTTGCAATAAATACCTCACGCCTGTGTGCACACCACCCTAGAGCACCTGGATTTTGGGACAGCAGCAGTAACATTATCAGGGACTGGGACATCAGCATGAACACAGCATTTCTATCCGTTATCCTGCAGAGTGCAGAATCATCTTGGTGGGGAATTCCAAACAAGGTACCCTTGGAAAGCTGAAGTTCCCCATGAGAACAAAGGCTAGTGATCGCACAACTCCTGCCAGCTGCTCATAGAATGCCTCATCTGTCTCTTCGTCCTGGTCTGGCATTCTGTAATGGACCCCCACCTGGATGCCCACCTTGGTCTTCACCCTGATCCTGACCCGCAGGGACTCAACCTTACCACCCCCAGCCCCGAGCTCTGTGATATCAAACTGTTCTCTACCAAAGAGCCACACCACCATGCCTCCTTTCTTGCCTACACCTTTTGAAGAGTTTATACAGCCACTCGTTGCACTCCAGTTGTAAGAGTGATGTCGCCATCTTTCAGTAGTGACAACTAAGTCAAGGCCTGCACGCCACAAGATGGCTTCCAGCTCCTCGTGCTTGTTGGCCACACTGTGTGCACTGGTGCAGATGCATTTCAGTTGAGCCACTGGCCTCACCTCCAGCCCTAACATCGTTCCCCAGACTCCTCGCTAGCATGCCTCATTCCATCCCCTTCCCCCTTCATACTTAGTTTAAAGCCCTCTCAACAAGCCCTGCCAGCTCCTGGGCTGTGATCCTTTTCTCCCTTTGAGACAGATGGGACCCATCTGCAGCCATCAGACCAGGTGCAGAGTAAACCAGTAAATTGCCTCATTGTCAAAAAAAAAACAAAAAAACCCACCAAAGTTGCAGCAGTGGTACCAGCCTCTCAGCCACATATTTATCACAAGTATTTTTCCAGTCCTCTCAGTATCCCTCACTGCCATTGAAGACACAGAGAACACCATCTGTACTCCCACTCCGTCCACTAACCATCTGAACTCACAGCAGTCCCTTATGACAGCCCTAAGGCTTCTGTCAGCAAGTACATCACTGCCAACCTGAGCTGTCAGTAAAGGATAATGACAGGAAGGGTGAACCAGGCCAGAAAGTTTTCTGGTAATGTCTGTGACCTGGGCCTGGGGGAGGCAGCACACTTCCCCACTAGGACTGCATAGGGTTAATGCTTCCCCCCCACCCACCGTTTTTCTTTTTTTTTCTTTTTTTTTTCTTTTTTTTTTTTTTTAAGTTATTACTATTTTTTAAACAAATAATTACTCTGCTGTTGGAGACTTGTTGGCAGGTTTTTATTTTGTTTTGGTTTTGTACCCATTCCACAATGGTTAACGCTGATTGCCAATTCTCTTCTGTCCAGCTCTGCCCCTCTGTGGTCAGGCAGGCCTTCCTGCCTTTTAATAGCTCTGACAGAAGGGAGCAGTCAAAGCCAGTCTGAACCCACGAAGCCATGACCATCTGCTAGAGAATTCAGAGTCAGCTGATTAAGTGTCCTTCCTTGCCTGAGGAAACCCACACTCAGTGCTGCTGTACTCGCAGAAAGTGCTCTCGCTGCCAATTTAAACGCCTCACCCCACCAGGCGGGCTACGAGGAAGGTCAACCTTCTTACGCTCTGAACGAGTACCCGCCTGCTCAACCGGGCCTTCCGTGCAGGCTGGGCCCGCTGTCCCGCACACTCCGCGTAACCTCACTGAAGACGGTCAGCGATGGAACACGCGGCGCCAGGTGCTGAACTCACCCCGCCAGCTCCGCTGGAGGAGCTCAGCCCCGCGCACGGCCCGGCTCCCGACCTGAACCGCGGCCTCGCACGCTCTATCGGGAAGAGACGGCCGCCGTTCTCCCGGACTCGGTACCGACGCCTGGAGCAACCAGTTCAGTCCAGCCCCACGCCGCCGGAAGTCGCACAGGCGTGGGGCAGATACTTCCGGTCAGGGCTGCCCCGTCCGCCAGAAGCCGCGCAGCCGTGAGGGAGAGCACTTCCGGTCGGGCTGCCCGGCTGCGGTGCGGCTGCGCGGGCGCTCCCACGGGTGGCGGTGGGGGAGCAGTTGCCGTTCGCTGCTGTGAAAAAAATTGCTGCTCCAGGCGGCTCGCTCAGTCATCTTCATCCCATAAAGAGGCAGCGGGGAGTCTTCAGCTTTCTTTATCACAGAATTGAGGGGTTGTAAGGGACCTGCAGAGATCATCCAGTCCAACCCCCCTGCAATGCAGGCCCCCTGCAGCAGGCTGCGCAGGTGGGCGAGTGGGTGGGTCTGAAATCTTACCAGAGAAGGAGAATCCACAGCCTCCCTGGGCAGCCTGTTCCAGCGCTCCGTCACCTCGCTGTAAAGAAGTTCCTGCGTGTGTTGGTGCAGAACCTCCTCTACTCCCGTTTGTGGCTGTTCCCCCTGTCCTGTCTCCACCAACCACAAGTTTGGCCATGTCCCTTTGCCTCCCACACTTAAGATATTGTAAATGTGAATCAGATCACCTCTGAGTCTTCTTTTCTCAAGGCTGAACAGACCCAGGTCACCCAGCCTTTCCTCGTAGGGGAGATGCTCCAGGCCCTTTATCATCTTTGTGGCCTTCTGCTGGACTCTAGGAGATCCCTGTCTGTTTTGTACTGGGGAGCCCAGAACTGGATGCAGTGCTCCAGGTAAGGGCAGAGCAGAGGGGGCAGATCACATCCCTTGTCCTGCTGGCCACACTCCTTTTAATGCACCCCAGAATCCCACTGGCCTTCTTGGCCACCAGGGCACACTCCTGGCTCATGGCCAACCTGTTGACCACCAGAACACCAGGACCTTCTCTGCAGAGCTCTTATCCAGCACATCATTCCCCAACCTGTACTGATACAGCTATTCCTTCCCAGGTACAACACTCTACAGTTACTTTTGTTAAACCTCATCTGGTTTCTTGCTGCTCAGCTCTCCAGTCTGTCCAGGTCTTGCTGAATGGTAGCACAGCCTTCTGGTGTGTTTATATGAATAAAGGAACAGTCCTCTGGGGCACAGTGCTGTGGGGGCTCTCTGCCACTCTGTTATCCCTGTTCCTCAGCACTACGCAGACCTTCCCCCATTTCCTTTTGGCTGAGGTTCTCAGAGTTCAGTTCACACTCATCTCAATGCGCCCATCAGCCACCCCCTGGTAGGTGCCCCGCTTTCTTTCCTTTGCTCATACATCCTTGATAATATGGGTTCAGTGTTTGCTGTTTTGCCCAACTGGATCTACCTTTGTATCCCATAAAGTCCCTCCCTCTTTGTTCTGCCCAGCAAACGATTTCCAAGCAGGTACTCAGCTAGCATCTCCTGCCATATATCTGCAACATAAGTCTGTTTAACTAGTTTTTCTTCTCAGATCTTATTTTGCAAGGACATTTTATCCTTTCTTCTTTTATCTCAGTCATAACACTGCTTTGTGGCAGTAAATACATTTGGGAACAAATATTTTCGGGGTGAAGCACAGGAAGTGTAACATTTCACCCAAAAGCTCCGATGAGCACCTTGAGAACTCCCTAAGAATTGATACCACTTTTGCTGAGCCGGACTGATGGATCAGTTTCACAAAACCAAGTCTACAGAACAGTTACCCATTCCACACGTCCCGTGCATCTATCCTGACCATTCCACCAGGTACGAGTCAGGATTGTATGCTGTCCTGCTTCACGCGGCAGTAAAAGTGAAAGGAATCAAACCCTTGTGAAAGCAGCTTCTGAGCAAAGCAGCGCAAGTAATCCAGTGGAAATCAGTAAGTCAGAGACAGAGTGGAACCCACTCAGCAGTCAAAACTTTTTTTAAACAACCAAAGCAGAGAGGCTGGCTTATGTCGTCGATTATAACGTGGAGTTGTGGTTGTAGGGGCACTTAATTAGCCTCGAGCGGGACTGACATGAGAACATCTGTAGGAGTCTGGCCAAGAATGTATTAAACATTCATTATCAGAAATCAGATACATTATCAGGTTATCAGGAGTAGTCAGCACGGGTTCACCAGGGGGAGGTCGTGCTTCACCAACCTGGTAGCCTTCTATGATGTTGTCTCTGGCTGGGTGGATGAATCAGCAAGTTTGCTGATTATACGAAGTTGGGAGGATTGGCTGACAGCCTGAAGGCCGTGCTGCCATTCAGCAAGACCTGGACAGGCTGGAGAGCTGGGCAGTAAGAAACCGGATGAGGTTCAACAAAAGCAAGTGTAGAGTCTTGCATCTGGGGAGGAATAATTGCATGCACCAGTACAGGTTGGGGGATGAGCTGCTGGAGGGGAGCTCTGTGGAGAGGGACCTGGGTGTCCTGGTGGACAACAGGTCGGCCATGAGCCAGCAGTGTGCCCTTGTGGCCAAGAGGGCCAATGGCATCCTGGGGCACATTAAAAAGAGCATGGCCAGCAGGTCGAGGGAGGTGATCCTCCCCCTCTGCTCTGCCCTGCTGAGGCCTCATCTGGAGCACTGCGTCCAGTTCTGGGCTCCCCAGTACAGAACAGACAGGGATCTCTTGGAAAGAGTCCAGCGGAGGGCCACGAAGATGGTGAAGGGCCTGGAGCATCTCTGCTATGAGGAAAGGCTGAGTGAACTGGGTCTGTTCAGCCTTGAGAAAAGAAGACTGAGAGGGGACCTGATCCAGGTCTATCAGTATCTAAGGTGTGGGGGCAGAATGGTGAGGCCAAACTGTTTTCAGTGGTGAGTGGAGACAGGACAAGGGGAAACGGCCGGAAACTGCAGCATAGGAAGTTCTGCACCAATGTGCACAAGAACTTCTTTAGGTGAGGTGACGGAGCACTGGAACAGGCTGCCCAGGAAGGTGGTGGAGTCTCCTTCTCTGGAGATGTTTAAGACCTGCCTGGATGCCAACCTGTGCGACTTGCTGTAGGGAACTGCTTTGGCAGGGGGTTGGAGATGATCTCTGGAGGTCCCTTCCAACCCCTACAATTCTGTAATTCTGTGATTCTGTGAAACAGCACTAATTTTTCTGACCAGGAGCGCTGCTTTGTCTGACCACAAGTACATGCAGTTGTCACCACAAAAGGAAGCAAAGATGCTCTAGAGAAACTTTAATTAGCTTAATTAGCGTGAGAAAACACGCATTTGAGTGGAGATCTGACCACATAATGAGCGGCCACCTTGGGCTAATGGGCTGGCACCTGGATTCTGCGCACTATTCTCTATAACTGTTACACAACCAAAAGAAAGCAACCTATCAACGATGTGCTTCAGCACATCAGGCACAACCCGACCCCTGCTGAGGAACAGAGGGGTTAAGCACTGGGTTTAAACTGAGCTCTGGGCAAGGAGGTGCCCTGCTAGGGAAACAGACTGGGAGTCTGGGCTCTTCTAGGATGCTCCGGGTGGAGAAAGGCTGTGGAGGAACTCACTGATCCCCATCGAACAGCAGACCCAGGAGGGGAATCCTGTGGAGAAAGCCTGGCTGGAAGCCATCCAGGCAGCACTGTGGCAGCAGGAGATGCACCAGGGCCATCCTGCAGCCGGGTCAGGGTTGAGAACACTTTGCATCCTTTGCTCTACGCGACTCCAAGAAGCCGGGCTGCCTGCAACAGAGATGGAAGCAGATCCATGCCCAAGGTAAGTGTCCTCCATTGCTCATGCAGAGAAGCTTTAACCCATTCTCTGATGCTTTGTGAGACTGCCTCCATGCTCAAGAATGCTTTTCTGCCCCTGCCTGCAGCACCAGGAGGGGAGAGGGGAACAGCAAAAGGTAGTTCAGAGCCAGCACTGCTTTACCCCAGGTGGGATCCTGGTCCCAGCTCCATCTCCTGCCCAGCACAACAGGTTTGCTGGGCCAGAGGAGATGCAGCGAAGGGAGCAGCAGTTCCCAGGCGTGTTGTAGCCCAGGCTGGGCACCGAGGGACACAGGAAGGGGTCGGAGCTGAGAAACGAGGAAGTGAGCAGTGGAGGTCAGCGTGCTCTGCTGACTTTTTGGCTTTCTAGTACAGCACAGCTGGAGCTGCATTTCTCCTTCTCCCTCGAGGCCATGCGAGACACAGGATGACCTTGCTCATGACCATGCATGCTCATGCATGCAATCCTCTGCATGCATGGACTCCTGTATGCTTTGAAATACTTCCTACCTCCTTCCTGCTTTTGAGTTTGTAAAGCCTCCAAGTAGGGAATTCCCATTTCCCTTGCTGCTCCCTGCCAGGCCCCTATTTTCCTTAGAGGATCCAGCAGGCAAGATGGACCTCTAGCGGCCCTTGTAAGATTACCTTATGTTCAGCTAGTGCTTGGCTTGGTTGCTCACTTGTTTTGAGGCTTGTGCTACCCTCTGAACTATAGGACTGGGGTTTCTTTGTTGTTCAAACCCTTCCCAACGTTTCTGTTGAGGATTTCCTTTTATCTCCAGTTCTGTTCTGTGCACATGCACACTGCATTTCTCCTTGCATTTGAATCCCAGGGACAGAGAACTTCAGTGCAGTGGTTTAACTGCAGCAGGGAGCTCAGCACGTCGCCCAGAGCTGTGCTGTGTCACTGGCAGAGCTAAGTTCCTCTCTTTCTGTTTTTCATAATTGTACGCATTAGATCACTTAGCAATAAAGAAATCTGAATTGAATTTCTAAGAACAGATCTTTCCTAATGTGCAGCATCCTTACTGTGCCTATCCTAGATCCAAAGGTATACTAATCAGAAGAGGAAGTCCATGTAGAGTGTATGTCCCCTGATAAATGAGAAGGGAGAACTGGAAACAGCAGATACTGAGGAGGTTGTGGTACTCCACAAGTTCTTTGCCTTGGCCTCCACTGGCAGCCATGCTTCCCATCTCTCTTCAGTCCCTTAACTTCTAAGTGAGGGTGTTGAGGGCACAAAATCCTCCAACTGTAAGCAAAGAACAAATCTGAGCTGATGAGACTGAACGTGTACTAGGCTATAAGGTCTTCCCAGGAACTCACTGATGTAGCAGTCAAGACAGCCTCCATCATAACTGAAACGTTATGGCTGTCAGGTGAAGTCCTCAGTGGCTGGGAAAAGGGAAAAAAGAATCCCATTTTTAAGGAGGGTAAACAAAGACCCAGTAAACTACAGGCCTCTGAGATCACCTCTGTGCCTGGGAATACCATGGAAAATATCCTCCTGGGGGCTATCTTGAAGCGCATGCAAGACAAGGAGAAGATCCTAGGCATGGATTCACCAAGTGCAGATCGTGCCTGACCAATCTGGTGGCTTTCCACGATGAAATGAAAGCACTGGTAGTCAATGGAGAGCTGACTGAAGTCACCTACCTGGACTTGTGCAAGGCTTTGATATGGTCTCACTCCGCATCCTTATCTCTAATTTGGAGATACGTGGATTTGAAAAGTGGATAAGTAGCTGGTTGTATGATTGCAGCCTGAGGGCTGTGGTCAGCAGCTCTGTGTCCAGGTGAAGGCTGACGATAAGTGGTATCCCTCAGGGTTCCATCTTGGGACTGCTGTTTTTAATGTCTTTGTTGGTGACCAAATAAATTCTTCACTATGGGGGCTATCAGGCACAGGAACAGGTCCTCCAGAAAGGTTTTGGATTGCCCCATCTTTTGAGGCATTCAGGGCCAGGGTGGATGTGGCTCTGGGCAACCTGATTTACTGCATGACAGCCCTTCCCATGGGGGAATGATCTTTAATATCCCTCCAACCTAAACCAGTCTATGATTCTCTGAATCTAACTCGGTTCAGTTGGTCAATTTAGGACCCAAATAAATATCTGTACAAACATGCCAAGGCACCCTAACACAAGTGCATGTGGCTGGCAGTGATCACACAGGATGGATCCCACCCACAGTGCAGGGGGGAAGGATGAGGAGAAGTCTGAAGTTCTCAATGCCTTTTCTACGTCTGTCTTTAATAGTCAGCCCAGTTATTCTCAGGGTACCAAGTTAGAAGGAAGCATCCCACAGACATAGGCTGAATCACTGGGCTGACTGCAACTGCGTGAGCTTTAACAAGAGCCGAGTGCTGCTTTTCGGCTACAGAAACCCCAGGCGTCGTTACTACAGGCTGGGAGCAGAGCGGCTGTAAAGCTGCACGGAGGAAAAGGGTCTGGGGGTGCCGGTGACAGCCGGCAGTGCCCTCCGGTGGCCAAGGAGCCCAATGGCAGCCTGAAACGGGGCAGTCAGGAGCGGGGATGTGATCGTCCCTGTGATTTGCCAGTGGCCCCAGGGGATCTAAATTGCTAGCAGTTGTCTTTGTCCCTGTAGCTGCAGCCCAGCCGCTCCTACAAGAAGACGTGGAGGCCCTGGAGTGTATCCAGAGAGGGGCAACAAAGGGGGTCTGGAGCACAAGACTTACAGGGAGTGGGTGAGGGAGCTGGGATGGATCAGTCTGGAGAAGAGGAGACTCAGGGGCGACCTTCTCGCTCCCTCCAGCTACTTGGAGGGATTTTATAGTGAGATGGGACCTCTTCTCCCAGGTAAATAGCAATAGAACTACAGGGAATGGCCTCACATTGCAACGTGGGAGGTTCAGATTGGATATTAAGAAAAGTTTCTCCTCAGAAAGGTGGCGAGGCATTGGCACAGGCTGCCCAGGGAAGCGGTGGAGTCTCTGGAGGTGCTTAAGGAAAGGGTGGCGGTGGTACTTCAGGACAGGGTTTGTTGGGCAATGTTGGTGGTAGTGGATGGTTAGACCAGATAAGCTTAGCAGTTTTTCCAACCTTAATGATTCCTTGATTCTCCTCTCGGTACCTTACATTCACAGGAGTAGCATTGTATATACTGTGAATCTTTCTAAAGTGCAGAAAGTTACTGTGAGCTGTTCCATAATTGGCTCTGGAGCATCATTCTCCAATTGATGTGGACCAGGGTGTCCCTTAAGAAGATATGCATAGGCAGGAAAAGCAGTTGCTCAACATCCGACACCGCATGGACGATGTGACTGCCCAGCTCTGTCTGCTTAATGCCACCTGGCACTTGCATCGCTTTTCCTTACATCAAACTTATCTACTCAAGTCTGCACTGAATGTTTGAGATCCTTTGTAGCAGCTGCCACCTGCTCTCCTCAGAGAACATGGATGCAGAAGGGTTTTTCCCATGTTTAAACAAAGAACAGTAAAGCATAACCAGGTAACCAAGAAATAGAAGAAATAGAACGTACTCCTTGGCTGTATGCCTGCAGTGAAGTTCACCTTCCCAACAGATAACTGTACAGGAAATATTTTACATACATAGATAGGAAATGATAAATATTAATAAGAAAGGCATATTAATTAAGCAGTAAGCTGGCTAAGGACATGGCGAGACTAACTGCTAAGGACAGACAAACATTAACTCCCTGAAACTCAAAGCAAGAACTGCACTGATTAAAAGGGCTATAAATGATCAGAGATTAAGGGGAGAGGAAATTGGGATAACAATAGACAGTACAAAGATTGAGACAGGCAGATGGAAAGGTGCCTTCCAACATGTCAGCCTAATCAGGACAGGTGGAAATACCTGTAAAATGAGGGCAGTTACATGCACAGAATGAGAGAGTGTTGTCAATGCAAGAACAGTGAAAGATTGGTGTTTCTTTCCATACAGTGAATACCCATCCTGAAAGGTCACGTTTTCTTGTGATAGAAATTCCACTTATTGTGTGGGTGTTTTACTGACAGGATTGAACCAGGGCAGCTGATGAGGAGGTGCTGAGTGTTTGAAAAACACTGAAGATGACTTCAGGTTTTCAAACGGAGCTCCACTGTGTGAACACGAGCAGCCAGTGCCATCTCAAGAGGCCCTGGTGTTCCTGAGGTACCTGCCTGGGACTAACAGCTGTCAGAGAGAACCTGCAGGAGACCAGGGCCCCTTGGGAACTGCAGATGGAGCCTGGAAGAAGAGCCCCAAGGGATCTAAATTGCTAGCAGTTGTCTTTGTCCCTGTAGCTGCAGCCCAGCCCAGCACACTAAATCCTCTCCCCCACAACAAAACAGTGGATCCTTGGGGATGATCCACAGCTGAAGTGACCACTGGGAATCCAAGAAACTTTCTGATTCTTAGTAGATATCCAGATAGCCATGAAACATCCTGGATTATCTGTGGCAAACTCAGACTGAAAGAGTTGAGTGCAGGTCATGCTGTGGTAGAATCCATTGTTTTGGCAGAATGTCTCTTTTCAGCTTCAGGGAAGTTAAGGGGAACAGTGTGAAAAGATCCATCCTCTGAGTGAGGGAAAATAAAATTTATTGTGCTATAGTGGCAGAAGGCAAACATTACTGGACTGTGCCTCAATTTACTAAAAGCTGCCTAATCCATTTAATCCATGAGCAAAAACAAATGGTCTTAGCAGAGTGAAGGACATTGATTTGTGACATAACATGAGGAAGACAGTGGATTGCTGATTGAAAACTGTCATGCTTGTGCCATGACCAATGTTGATTGTGCTGGAGTAAAAGCCTCAGGCCAGCACCAATGTGCTGAAGGCCCATGGGAATGACTGCAGATTGACTTTGCAAGACCTCAGTCCACGACTGAGGTCTTGCTGGAGCTCAAAACAAGAAATGCATGTTGGTATTAGTAGTTCCTTTTTACAACAGGGCAAAAGCCATTTACCCCTTCACAAAGGCCAGTGCTGAGGAACCAAAGGCTCTGCAATATCATTTGTATAACTCTATGTGTAGAGAAAATGGCTTTGATCCAAAAAGCTAATAGTACAGAGAGTTTATAGAAAAGGCAGAATGCAAGAACAGCAAAACGACGCATCAGTGACAATGAGCTTGTCTTTCTCTGTTTCTTTCAAATATGTTTTTTTCTCCTTCGGCACTGATTGCCATATTGTAGGAAGGATTGAAGGAAATAAAAAGCTAACTATATTAGAATTATTTGGGAAGAAAATGAATGTAAGCAACCTCAAAAAACACTTCTTTATTTTTTGCATAAGCTTGGCTTAGTAAAAGGTCCCCTTTTCTATATGTGTGAAACAACGGATACACCAGGAAATTTTGGCTGACCTCGCCAGATCACAGCCTTTAAAAGGATCCCTAATTGCAAGAGAGAAAGATTGTGGTGGACTACATTAAGGGGAAATGAAAAAGCTTTTTTAGGGTTGTAAAGCACCAGGACTACAGCACCCTATTATGACTTCAATTTAAATGGACTGGGTACCCTGCCACTGGCTTGGAGGGCGGGTAGAAGGCAAGGCCAAGCGAGGAGGAATTGAAGGAAGAATGGAGGGAGGGATGGAGGGAAGAAGAGATAGAGGGAGAGGGAAGCAGAGGGCAGGGGCTGCAGCTGCCCCATAGGGAGACTGAATGCAGGAGGGACTGAATGCATCTAAACGGCACCAGAAAGAGTCAGAAATTGTACTGAGGGCTACAGAGGACACTGAGTGCTATCTCTGGTGGGCTGTCCCCCCCAGTGTCACTCAGTGCCATCTCTTTGACTTCAGTACTGTGTTCAACCCACTGGATATTACAGAATCGTGGAATAATGGAGTTACTGCAGGAATAATGGGGCACACATGGACAAAGGGACAAAGGGACTGATGGATGCAAGAATAGAGGGACACACAGACACAGGAGCTTTGCTAGGGTTGTTTATTGGTGTTATTTTTATGGGAAAATGGGCTGTGTTGTTTCGAAGATCTGATGGAGACATGCAGGGATGATCAAGTCCTTATGGAACACAGTGGGGCCAGCACAGGGTTCACACCAATGTTTCATCCTGAAAGTCAAAGAGCAGGTGGTGACCTTACGGTCACTTTGTTCGGTCTGTATGGCACCAGAACCCTTTGTGTTCTTTGGGTGACCTTATGGGTCCTTATGGTACCACGACGACCACTTGCACCTTACAGGGATGGCGCTGTT